TTTTTTTTTTGGGTAAGGAAAGCGAAGCGAATGACTACTCTTCTATATCACCTGTGGTCACGAAAAGTATACCACACCCCTCGGAAAAAATAGAAAATGCGCTACGCATAAAGCAACAGATACAATTGCTGATAAAAGAAGTACATGGGTACGCGTAACACACCTTTCGTTCTAAAAACAAAACCCAAAAAACCAAGCAGTCTGTTTTTCCTTTGATGCATGCCAGAAAAATAAGGAAAAACATCGTAACAATGGATTCATTCGTGATGTAGAAGTAATCGAATTCATTTGAGGAGTTGTTTGGTCGTAGAAAACAAAACTAGCCTCGACTACTCATCCGCAAACAGAATATCAACGCCGACGATAGGATTAGGTCTGAAACACAAAACCATTTTTACCTCGGAAACTCTCGATGACACGGCGTACACACAAAGCGTGATGAAAACACATCCATCTATCTTACTAAGCGACCCCCACCTGTGGCAGGGTTATCGTGTACAAAATAAGCATCACGACGCGATTCATTCCAAAACGCATGGCCATGCGCATACCACGCACGGAATACAGCCGTCTCCAAATTCTTTGAAAAAGGTTTTAGATCATCAACGAATACGGAAAGCAAAGGCTCTTAAACTTTCAGATTGTCTCATTCTCTCCAATAATAGCAGCCTGGTAGAGTAGTTGACGCCATACTATTTTGTTTCAAAAGAAACTCTACGAATTTGCTCTTGAACAGGGCTTTTCTTCCTTTTGTTTGACATATCTTCCCTTCTTTCCTTCCCTTCCTGAATATGCTAAAGCGGGAAGGGAAAGTACATTGCATTCATTGGTAATCGTCTGCGCGTTAACAGCTGGAAATGGCAGGAAAAAAATCACGTACAGCCTGATCAAGGTGGATATCCGTACGCACCACTGTGACCGAAAACGAACTTTTTGCGCTTAAATTCCTGGGATCGCCTTTGGTTTTTCAAATAAAGAACACATTACGTTTCTGATTTTTAATCAAATCATAATCGGATATTCATGAGTGAAAGTAGAGCCCTCCTATTGGATGTGTGTTCTATTTGATCGACTATATATGCGAATACGTGATCCACGCGCGTGAAATACATCGACCTTATCCATTAGGTGAGTACCTATCGATCTTCACTTATTAAGAAACGATAAAGCAAAATATGGACCAAACGCAAAAGGATTGTGATGAGTTTCAAATAATAAGTTAGGAGGTTGTTGTTTTCGACCTCATTTTTTGGTTCAAAAATAAAGGACGGTTGATTCATTATTGCA